ACAATTGGGAATTGGCCACAAAAACGCTGTGTAACTGCAGTGGAATGATTCTGTAAGGCCGTCGCCGGTAAATGACGTTGGTACCTAAGAGTAGTTCCAAGTCGACAGACCTCTAGGCAGCGGCGGTGTAGCATGCACGGGAAGCACCAACCAGGGTAGAGCGATGATTCTGTAAGGCCGTCGCCGGTAAATGACGTTGGTACCTAAGAGTAGTTCCAAGTCGACAGACCTCTAGGCAGCGGCGGTGTAGCATGCACGCTATGGAAGCACCAGGGTAGAGCGATTCTCCGAAGGCAGGTGTTCGCGACAATTTATGTGGCCGGAAAACAGGGACAAAGCTCACGGGCCGAAGCCCAGTAAGCAAAGTTGTGCACAATACTTACTACCTATAAATATGTGGCCGGAAAACAGGGACAAAGCTCACGGGCCGAAGCCCAGTAAGCAAAGTTGTGCATCACCAATACTTACCTATAAATCAGTGAAACCGACAGAAAACACATACTACACCGGCGATATTTTTGTTCTTTTCACGTCATACAAAGATTCGGGGCCCGGATTAACAAGCTAAGGAGGCCGCTCAATCACATGAAGATTTCACTTTCTGGTCGAAGCGAATGGTGCAAATTCAGGAAGTGGCCGAATCGCAAGTCTATGCCACCAGCATCAGAAGTGGGGAACGTGAACACTGGCTGCGAATCTTCGAGTGTCGAACTTCTGACCTAAGCACCTGGAAAGGTATATTCGGAAGCACGCATTTCCTTTGGTAATGAATAACCAAATCAGCTGATAAGTGCAGTGCACAGTGGGAATCAGCCGATTATGCTTTACATTGGCCGCAATGTTTGTATCATTCCTAATTCAAACTCAGAGCACTGCGGATGGTGGAAAATTGATTGGATACGGTTTCATCCCTGTCATGGTTAACCCTCTCAAACGGGAGCCAAATCGTGATTGTTGAGAGGTTGCGGTGACGTTGTGCGGCGGCATTGATTATCCGGTGACCAGGCGTGCCACAGTTGTGGAATCGGCTCGTTTAGATTAGCTTCGGCTATCCTCTTATCACAGCGACAAACTGTTGGGTTAGTCTGCCCACTAGGATGACTAAGTACCCCAATGATGAATATTCACACGCGGGCGACTGCGCCATGGCCAGTCCCGCCTCGGACGATTCCAGCATTAAAGGCATCAGCTCCTCTGAGAAATCTAAACATCTCTATCCTCAAAGTGTTCTGTCCACGGGGCCTTTATTCATGGCCTTATGGAGCATCAGATTAAAGGAAGAACGCCTTTTTTCATCGAATTTATTTGTCAGCAAACTTGAACGAGATAGCTACAGGCTATTAGACACAAAATTGAACACAGTATCAACACGGAACTTTGAAGGGTGAGCATTCCCAAGCGTCATTTTGAACTTTTCTGTATGGTTTTCGACTGGTAGACACTTCTTGACAGACAGTGCTAGGTGATTTAACAATCTTTGCAAAAACTCACTTTCCGTGAGTTATGAATGGGGACCCTGAATACCAGATTACAGTACACTTGCATGCCTCATCAGTGGCATACGCCGCCACTCTAGTATATTCCAGTGGCTTTGCATTAATGACGGTCCGCAGCATGGTCCATCAGCATTTGCGGCATTCCAGTGAGGCTACCAGTTACGCAATCTCCGGCCAACAAACATCAACTGGTCACCTTGATTTTTTCGGATGTTCTGGTACCTTCAGGCCGAAGGACGAGAGCCCCTCTCGGGCGACTGACGAAACATATATTTACACACTTAGCTTCTTGAGCAGGACGCGCTTAGTGCCGAATGAGATGAGGTTAAAATGCTGGACCATTACTCGAGCGAACTGGTCCTCAGAAGAGTTGGAAGAAACCCGTAGGGCTCAAACGCACCGACAAGGCTTCTCCTATAATTCACTTCAAGTCTGTTACCCAAAAAGAGCAAGTCAGTCCCGCGCTCCGTAATTCCAGTTTGCCTGGGAATGTCATGATTTAGCGGGAGTGTTATACGCGGAAACGAAGTGCTGTGAATGCGGGCTACAAATTCCAGACATTTCATTGGTCCTGCTGACATCAGTCAAGAAGTGAGTGATTGCCCTTGGTTAATAATCTCTCCCTCATCTACGTCTTAGCTGACTAAACGGAATACAGTGACTTCTTGTCCACATAACAACTTGAGGTCAACGGTTGGTTAGTTCTACTGTACAGAAGTAGTGGATAAAAATCTTCCGGCAAAGCGGTAGGGGATCGTTGATCAATCAGCCGCAATGCATGTTCATATCGTTTCTTTGTTATAAACGAAATTTGAGTGATACGCAATAATATGGGTTTCCATATCTAATGGAACTGATTTGCATGCTATGAGTTCTTGATGCGTGCAATCTAGGAAGCCGGGCTACTTACACATATCCAATGTTTCTATCATCCAACAGATTCTGAATGCAGTTTACTACATGCGAAAGAAACAGATAAAAACTAGAGCAATAGCACTGGTTTTGTGGCATTAAATTGTGACCTTTATGAATGGCGAGAATATGCCAACTAAAAGCTCTTGAAGTACCCGATAATGCAAGCTAGACGGAAGATGTCTTGCGTCAAAATTAGGCCATGGTGAACAGCATCAACTAACAAAGTGTACGCCATAATTATACTGGAAAATGAGTTTCCATGTAATGGTTTCCGAAATACCGACTCATAAATAACTCATTCAGAAACATACATTAGACCCTGTCTCCGGTTCTGATTGTTTCCATCACTAAGATCTAAGGAACCAAAATGTGGATGATAGCAAAATAATCGCTATTTAAACATCTTTGAAAAGCCAATGTTTAATTCCCCGTTGACTGTGAATTATTGAATTATTCAACTCAATCTTGTCTTGAGGGTAAATTTTTTGTTTGCAAGTTGCCTCAACGTATGCTCAGACCATTCCTAAGATAACGCAGGCTCATTTTTCCGTCAGGTTTGGTCATGTAGTCCTTTTTTCGATAATCCGGCGTCGGCGCACAAGCCGTTGCAGAACACGCTGATATTAGTATTGACGATAGTGGTTGCCGGATTTCACTGGACTTCGTACAAACTAGATGCACAATGCTCTGGTCCATCACGGGGAAATAGTTTGTGGCTGAGGACATGTGGGCTGGTTTTCGTAGCAACGTGATCGTTCATTCTGCAATAAGGTGATTTTGTCACAAAAGAAATGATGAGGTGTCATCAGCAGAAGAGGAGTTAATGGGATCCATTGTGGTAGCGGTATATGTAATCGACAGCCAACCAAATACATTTATTCGTGTCGTTATTTGGCGCCTCCCGGTTTGGATAAATATTCTTCTGAAGCATCGCATGTTCTTCTCTTCTTCCACTGCTCTTCAGCGTTTCCAAACCAACATTCGTTTGACCTTTTCAAAGAGGGCGTGCGACGCGAGACACAAACGTATTATAGGATTTTGTTCTACCCTTTTAACACATCAAAGCTAGAGGCACATTTTGAGATTACTTCTGGAACCATCCTTCCTCCAACTCGTCGCCTATCCTCTGATCCATTTCCCATTCCTCCAGTATACTAGTTGTCCCACCTAAAAACCAAAACTTCGCTGGCCGTCCTTTGGACCCTGAACAAACACACGGTTCCCCACGTTGTTTAAAACCAGATAGCCCAAGTATTTGTGGCCCGCAGTGGCACCATTTTGCCTAATGAAGTCCTCAGCAGCTTCACTTGGTTTGATCAGTAAAAGTACACCGGACATTTCTCATCAATTTCGCATGTGCTTTTGCCAACCACATTGCTCGCCAGGCGTACGATCCTGGCCGCGTTAGATCAAGCTGTATTTGCGCAACTGGCAAGTGCGAGTAGTCGTGTGCGACTTTTGTTAGTGTTCTTTCACTGGTTACAATAAACATACGCAAATCGTGCGTAATTGCAGGACAGGGTAGTTTCACGGGCAATCAGTAGACCCCACAGCGGCAACACAGGCAACGCATACTGCTACAACACACACCAATTCTCCAAGCTCAATTCTGGACCCAACACGGGCTTGTGTTTACCAGTCACCGTGTTCTCTGTGTCATCACAGGTTTTTTGTGGTAAGCTATTAGCTTCCTCCCAATGACCTGCCTGTTGCATATATGTTGCACTGTCCGAAGCAGCTCAGCGTCCTTTATCGTGTTTGGAGCAAAGTTGGACGCAAAGTTCTATATGGGTAGAAGAAGCCTGGAATGACGGAACCTGCATGCCGGGGTGCTCGCCGGTAGCCATAACTTTAGGAGAGTTAGACCTCCCCGAGTATTGTGAAGCTCCGCCGTACACTATGCACAAGGTTCGGATGTCAGATCCTTGGTAACTTCTAGGGTTCGGTTTCTCTTTTTCTGCCTGTTGCGGTCTTTGCTTGCTCTAAGTCTTCTTTATGAGGAAAGCTATGTATGTTTCAAAGTGTCTGGTGATGGGATACAGACCGTATATCACCCCAGTACACTAAAAGGATTCGACAATCATGAAACAACCATACTCTTATCACTTGATCGGAAAATAATAACAAGAACCATCCAGTCTAGCTGTGCGTGCACTAAAATAATGAAAACGACCTGGAAAAACCCGCCGAATCCTATTGGAGCCTGTAATGAATTCGACATCAACTCCCCAGAGGTACTCAAAATTGTTCTTCTAACGAGACGTCTTCCTTGAAATACCAAAAACCTTTGGTTCGCCTAGCAGATATTGGATTTTAAAAAACAGTGCTTTTCAGAAGTAGAGGTAGCTTTTATCACAACTATTTCAGTCGTTTCATAAATCAGGTCTACTGCTGGAAGTAGACGGGACAGAAAATACTACTTCCAGGTCATGCCGCTCCGAGTTGAGGGAGCAATTGCCCAGAAGACTTTGGTTTAGCCCTTCCATCACATTGCGTGGTTTGCTCATCAAAAACACAGTATGACCGATCATTTTCTTGCTAGTATGAAGTCCCAATCTAAAAAAACTGTTCACCGGTGACAACTATATCTTAATATTTTCGCCTTCCTGCTCGTTGAGTTGCTTTCAGCCATGTTCGAGTTGTACTCGCATGAGCGCGGCCTGACGGCCAATAGGTATCCGTCGAATGCAAAATGATTTCGCTGAAATTAAGCTGTCGCCGAGGCAGTCGCTCTATTTTGTACACTTCGAATGAGGCCACCATCGTCTCTTGTCCCAACGGGTGCTTTAGAGCATCGGTGCTGGTACGAACGTAGCAACAGACGGCTTTCGACTGACTCTTGCGCGGAGCCAAAATGTGGAAGGACATGGATTTCTGAGACAATTGTTCTAAGCTTTTCTGTCTCACCCAAGGTCTTAGCTGGGTTTCTTTGCGGACGTATTTGCAACAAAACGTGTGCGCTGGGTTGTAGTCCACAGCAGCAGTTGGTCGTATACTTACTCTCCCTAGGGGCATCGTGATTCTCCTTACCACACAGCGGGCAAGGGCGATTATCGCGACGGTCGACGTGATAGGACATGCTATCCCTTGGACGCCACTGGGAGGCGGGACAAGACCTTAGCCCACGAAAGCTCAGTTCCGTGTCTTGGGACCGAAATTTATGTTGAAAGCCAAGAACTTTGATCAACGATGATAGATGATTCGTCACAGACGCTAGACGTCGGCACGGCAGAACTTACCCTGGATAAACCATTGGTTGACAACATATGTGGCTTTTTGGGGTTTCATCAGCCGAAGTTTACCCGCGGCGAGGTACCTCCGAAGTAGGTTTCGTTTTTTCCTCGTGCAAATTTGTGAAAGAATTTCTCCGCTTTTCAATTTATTCACAGAGTACACCTGAGTCACTACTGAATTTCATCATCCTAACATGACATTTAAGTGATAACTCTTGTTATTTGGCGCCCAGTCTCAACTATTACATCGATTAATAAAGACTGACACCTGAAGCCATCGGTAGACCAAAAGAGACATGGGCGAAATGGCTGTCCGTCGCACGTAAGACAACAATGCGAAACCACACCTGCGAGGCCTGGTGGCACTTCTGATGCACCGGCTTACAGGATGACCAGAAAAGCAGAGTAGCTGACTATCCTGACCCGTTTGGCTGCGCCAGCTACCCCTAACTTAATGGTGGAATGCACATCGCAGCTGAAGAGAGAGCCACCAAAAAACGAAACCCAGTCCCCATTGCTAAATCAGAAAATCCTGTGTGGGTGTTCCGCTTTGATCGGAATACTCGACACAAAACTGGGGCCGCTTTCTAAAGCACTGCAGAGTGCGAACACAAAGAATGCAGTGACCCAGACGAAAGTTGATGAAGAACTTTCTTCGTTGAACGAGTACCTTGCGCTATCCATCCCGTGTCCGCCGGCTGCGAGGAAAGACATCCAGCTCTCTGAAGCGGCAATAAAGACCGCCAAATGTTTTCTAGTGGACAGACGCATAAGGGAGAGCAGAATAATAATCTGTGATCATTCTCCGGAAAAATCACACCGACGAAGCTGGCACAGTCGCTCCTTGATAGTGTGCTCACTAAGCCTGATCACCAATCGCATTACGCAGATGGTTACGCCAGAAGGGAACCAAGGGAACACTTGGGCTTCTAGTCACCCGTTCCCGCATCTGTCGCACAGAAGATCTTGGAGCAGGCTGACAACATCCGAAAGGCCTACCCAACGACCAGGCGTCCATCTGAGGGCCATCCTCTAGAGGTGCGAATGCTGGGTCACAGCAGTTCAAGGGAAGGGGGGCAAAACAGACTTCCACCTGGCGCAAGTTCAACCGACCCCAAACTATTGGCCGAACCGATTGAAGTCATAGCCCGAAAGCATGCCGGCGTAACCAACCGCGTTTCCGAATATCAGTTTCTATTCAACCACCAGAAACCCCTCGTCTACCAATGTAGTGATGTTCTGGAGGGACCATACCTCAAGTGGGAGCAGCGCATAAAGTACGTAGAGCTATCAGTGCTTATTTCCTTAACAGACGACAAAGGTGCAGCCATGGACTCCTCATCAAAATCACAGCTTCTGGACTCGACTGAATCAGATTTATGGGAACAAGCCCGCTGACAAACCAACCACACGCATTGACCCCGACAATAGAAATCCTGCGGCCACTGTACGACCACTGACAATGTGAAGCTACCAATCTCAAGCTCCACTCCGTCAAAAATTACCTCTGCTCGTGGACACAACCACCCAGGACCCCGACAGCCGAAACCCCAAAAGTGACCACAGCGAACCGGAAAACCCCTCATACATCCAGTTGGCCGCACTGATCGCCGGTGGATCGGGTGCCCACACAAACACGAAAGAAAAGCGACTGCAGCCAAACAAGCCACACAAGATTAGCCAGATCAGAAAACTGTTGGCTGGCTTCAAGGCGCAGTCCTCTATGAAATTCGGCCCCATGAGAGCGCCACCAGAAGAATTATTTCTTTGTGCCGCCGGCCAACGCTCAGAGTCTCACAGAGACAACTTTCTGGTCAAACAGCGCCAAAACACCCAAGACACCAAAAAGACGAAAGTTTGCCCCAAATCTTTGATTAACAGCAAATCTTGTCGTCAAAGAGGCAGTGCTGAAAGCGCTACAAGTACGCTGGTCAGAAGTTTCGCCTACGGAGAAAAACCTCCGTCCCCCAAAATAAAACCTCGAGCAAATCGGGCTCACATGGGGCAAAATACCTCCCAAATAAAAAGCATCTCCAGAAACCATAAAGACAGGAAGCAGACGACATCGCCCCAGAGGCCCTTTTGGATCCTTGGACTCGATCCCGACTTAAAGTTGTTAAGTCTGCTAACCCCCCTGGTAGCTCAACTTTCGGCTCCTCACCTTCAAGAGCGGCAGAGTCAGTGTTGAAATGCTTGTCCACAAACTGCATCAGCCTGTTCAACTCTACGTTATTCAACAGTCAACTTTTCTCGAACAACGGTCCATAATTGCACTCACAGAGACCCGGCTCAAGCCAGATGTCTCTGACGTGGAGATCGCGACAGAGAGTTTCTCCGTTTTCCGAACTGCCTCAAAACGAGGGATGGATGATTGGGTTGCTTTGTACTTGAATACGGCCCCGACTGACCCGATTGTCCTCTCTGATACGACTGCTGCACCTTTTTGCGATGCACTGTGGATCCAAATCCCGCCGCGCGGGTCCGATTCTCTCACTCTCGATGTGGTACACCGTAGCCCCTTGAGTCTTCCTGATGACCTGTTCCTCGAACGAATCCTTGGACGATTTTCCTCCAGCCACAGATTCACTCATCTCCTGCTGGTAGGTGACTTTAAAGCTCCAAAAGCCTCCTGGATAGAGCTCCAGTGTATAGGGTCAAGCGGATCTCATGCAGCGGCGTTGATTGAAGACATTCAAGAGAGCGGCTGGACTCAACATGCCGTTGCACCCAACAGATACCACGCAGGCCAAATACCATTTCTCCTGGCTTTGGTCCCCACTAACGAAAGACACTTCGTTGAACAGTAATAGTTAGTGCTCCAGTGCGACATAGTGACTACCGTGTGCTGACCTTTGATTCCATCTGCTATTGAGCAAGAAATCCCGAATCTCAAACGTGGTTTCGGGATTTCTGCCGTGCAGACTTCTCAGGAACGCGCATCTTTCTTTGCAAGCTAAGCTAGGACAAACCTCAGTGGGAGGCTTATAGAGGATTATTGTCCAGAAGGTTGAAGAGGCTGACGCGATGTTCGTCCCAGAAAACCAGCACGCAGTCAGATGATCGGCAGGCTGGCTAAAGGGATTCGGCGCCTTCTAGAAAAGAGATCTCAACTTTCTTTCGAAAAGTTGATTGCAGGGGACGGGAGCTGAGCTGGCAGTTCGTAAAATGCGGAACCGCGGTAAATAAAAAATCCGCCAATGGAACACACGTAAACAGGCCACCATTCTGGATCTCGCTCGGAAAAACAGAAAGATACTGTTCAAACATGAGACATCGCGGAAGAAAAAAGCCATCCGCGTTCCCCTTGAGGGATAGGAGCGAAGAATCCACGAGTAACCAAACAGTGGTATCTGAGTTTCACACAGAACACTATGCAGATCTATATCCAGCCCCATCGCCTTCGATACATCCACTCTCGTGAAGGCGCAACTACGAACAGCGTGTAACTGATTTGGTCTTCATGGTGGAGGACATTCGTCAACTCTTGCACAAGATCAACCCATTCTGCGTGTTAGGGTCTGACGAGGTCCATCTAAGGATCCTCAATGAAACGTCGTCTACACTGGCAAATCACTTATATCTGGTGTTCTGCCAGTCGCCTGACGAAGGCCGCCTTCGTTCTGCTAAAAACGAAGCGATTGTCACCCTAATCTAGAAAACTGGTGACCGACTATCGCCTGGCACCTACAGGCCCATGAATTTCGCCAACGTGTCGTGCAGGGTGATGGAAGGCATTCTGAAGCGACCTATCCCAGATCACCTTACTTCCACCAACCTGATATCTCTAGCTTGTTGTATCTCTTCACCTGCACTGACGGTACTGGGTTGTAGTCACAAGACTAGAAGACGACCTGAAGGAACTGTGCATTAAGGCAATTATAACTTTCAATACATGTGATTCACTTGCCACCGTATTTGATGGTCAGTCCGCTGCCAACCAACCAGTTCTCCTGCACGCCCACACCGGTTCTCGGGAGGTTGTTCCTTTGTCTCGGTTGATCATAGATGACCGTCTGTGCGCTTGTATACTGGATGCCCTGGCCATGAGGTGGGTGTGAGCTTTCCGTGTCCCTTTTTGACCTTTCCCGACACATCATGAAACCGGACGTGATTCAGACGTATAGGCGCAATCGCACGGCCCTTTTTGACATGGTTGTTCCGCTGCCCAGCCGTATTGTAGCTCAACACGGATTTCTCTCGAACCATTGTTGCGTGACGAACATGCTCATGTTTATGAACAGCTAAACACAAGGCAAGAACTAGAGACTCACACCGGACGATGTATTTTTCGACAAAGGCATTTCATTTGATAGGCTCCCACGCGTTCCGCTGCTCCACGAACTCGAGTCTTACGGGATCCAAGGGAAGATCCTTCACTGGATCAAGGCGTTCACATCAGAGAGATCATTCTGAGTGGAGGTAGGGTCTAGTTACTCTTCTCCAGCGCCTGCGTCCATTGAAATTCCTCAAGGCTGCGTCCTTGGACCAGTGCTGTATATGGTCTACGTCGACGACTCCCAGATGCTCTTGCAAGTCCATGTCTACATTTTTACGGACAACTTGAATTCCTGAAGTTCTAATACCAATACCCTCCAGATGGATATAGACGCCGCAAAGCAGTGGTCGTTGTATTGACACCATCCGAATGACGAAAACTGAGTCCATATGGCATTCGTAGGAAACTCAGCGGAAGTTTTTTTCACGCATGATGATGATGCACCATGAGAAACTGACCCAAAAGGCATTCGGCATTTTGCGGATGATCCAACGCACCTTCTCCTG